TGTACAAAAAAAAAAAAAAAACGGAAACATACTAGATAGCTCTCGCTTGTGCACGCACACCCTAAACCGTGTAATAGACCCTTCCCAACACGATGCACAGGCGTGCAAGTCTAATCTCCAATTGGCTTTTAATTTTTTTTCCTTATATTTAAATTTAAGACAAATTCAACATGTCGTCCACTACCATAATAAGCACCAAAATTGACAGTATTATGTACATATACCATTTCTCTTACCGAATAGATGTTACAACTTGTTACATTGTTGGGCTCGCAAACAGGTGGCGACATTGCCTTTCTATCGTTGGTGATGCTAGTTGATACGGTGAAATGTGATCACAACCCTTGAAAAATCTATCGTTGGGTCGTTTCTAGCATTCAACCCTATTATAGAAAAACAGGAAAATTACTATGAAGCAACCGTCCTATCGATCGGGCCATGACGTTTGCTTCGTGTCCTTGTTGCTCCTTTGCAAGATTCCTAAATCTCAAACTTTTCTCGTCAGCTCTTTTAGGTACTCTACATGGTCAATGATAGATACTTTGACAATATGCAATAAGTGAAGGCAAGCCATCTTTATTAGCAACAAACGCACCTCAAGCTATTACAAATTAAACATGTTTTTTATCCTAAATGGACTAAATTGTTGCCTATTTTGTCAGATTAATCAAGCTTTCGAAACGAAAGCTACAGAAGCATTTCTTAAATGATTTATAATCAAAAGGGTTATGGAGTCTTTAAACAGAGGAACCGAGTCCAAAAACTGATAAAAAAACTGAAAAACCAGCATGTGTTCATCAAGAATCACGACTCAAGAGGATTGATTACCTAGGATAGGAGGTTAATCCCTTGGCTCTATAGTAGTGAATCTGAAATTCATAAAACCAAACAGATGAATACCAAATGAATAGAACACATTGCCAAATTAAGTAATGTGAAATTTACTTCTAATCCTCTAAGATTTTTATTACCTTATCACACCCGATTCTTTTTTTTTTTAACCAGAGCGACGTGGTTTTCTAATATTTGTCTTTCGACCATATTACGCACTCTAAACCTGACGTTGTTAGATCTATTTGGGGATTAAATATGCGTAATTGATATACTGGGTCATTATGTTGTTTAGAAAAATTAAGTGATCAAATTATTGTAAGGAACTTAATTTAAATTGTAGAATGATTAAATGTAGACATCCGATGATATTAGTATTTGATGATGTAACAAATAATAATATTAAATTTAAATGACTCAATTAGCGAATAATTAGGGTCAAATTATTAATGGGTAGAGCCCCTAAAGCTGTGGGGGTTTTTCGGAATTCTTCATTAAATTATAAGAAGAAGAAACTATTTATTCTTCATCACTCTCTCCATCGGTTGTATTTTAGAAAAAATTGATGATCCTTTTCACTTTGTGTTAACCAAATATTCGGACCAATTTGTTCGGTAAAAAATCGGTGTATTGATAGGAAAATCGGTTTCATCTTTTTTGGGAAAAATAAAGATTATTTTTCAAATTTTCTTAATCAAATTTTGAATTAGATTTAAAAAAAACGGCGCAAAAATCCCTAAAAATTCGTATTTTTTTTACTAAAATTTTGTTTAATAAATAAGATCCTTTCATATTTTTTAAAAAGCATAATTTTTTAATTAATAACTAATAATACGCAATTTTAGATAGAATTCAAACACTCAGGTAGTACTTTACATGTCAAATATATATATATATATAGAATTACCATTTATCAAGAATAGTAAGTCAATCTTTGGTCAAAACTGGTAAGCATTAATTACATGTCATTTATAGTATTTTTTTAATATTTTTTTAAATGTTGTCCTTAATGAGGAGTTTGTCACTTTTTATTTTCAAAAAAGTTGAGATGCTATTTAAATTTAGCCTATTGAATATTTGTGATGGTTTGACACGATGTGCATATCAAAAGCTGATAATGCATGGATTGCATCAATTAATTTGGTTATTGGTTATGAAAAGCTATTTTAAGATTTGAATTCAATTAAACATCGGGCAATTATATTCTCCAAATTTAAAAAAGATATTCGTCTAATACAATTGTTTTATTTGACATCTTTTCTATAATAAAAAAGTTACAACTGATTTACTAATATAAAAAGTTACGTGCTATATTTTCTAACCATAAAAATATACTTTTATATTTTAAAAATATCGGAAACTTTTTTTTTTATATATAATCGGCTAATAGCCTAATACATGTTTTTTGATTAGCAGGTTTTATTTAACTAAACAAATTACGGCTGATTTAAGAGTAAAAATATTTTGAAAAAAAAAATCATTTGTTTATTTCTTTTGAAAACATTTTTTCTAACAATCAAATTGAGTAGTTTCAATTAAAAAAATAAAGTTGTGGTTGATTCAAGTATTTTGTTTGGACAATTATTTATGATGAAAAATAATGCACGGCTCTAATTTTGAAACATTCAAAAATTTTATGGTCATTGTTTAATTCAGAGATTCGAAATAGGGTAAATAACTTTTACCCATCCGAACTATCGTGTTTTTCGCGCTCTGCCATATAAACTTTTTTCGTTTGCAAACAACCACATATACTAAATATTTTTTCCCTTTGCCCACCAAAACCGTATGTAAAGTGGTTTTGTACCAAAAAAGATGATTTACAAGGGCATTTTAGGAATTACAAATTTTTAAACATTGCAAAAAGTACCCAAAGGACCAAATAATAATTTATAGATTTTTTAAATATAACAAACTAACCCCTATTTTTTGTCAAATTCTCAATTACTAATATCTAATTTCTAAAACCCTAATTTCTAATTTCTAAAACACTAATTCTACTGAACATGAGGATGAACATAAGGAGTATGGGGGCAGGGGATGTGGTGGTGTTGGTTGTAATGGCGGTCGAGTGGTCGTAATCAGTCATCGTGATGTAACCGTTGGCGTCCCCGTCGACATCTTGAAGAGATGCTTCAGCTGCTAGCTTCTCCGTGTACGGTGACCTCGCCGACAGGAGCATCGACGCCACCAGCGCCAGGACCTCGAAGAACTCCAGCCATTCAAGTTCTCCTGTGACTTACCGTCGATACTCAGGATCCAAGTAGGGTCTCGGACATGGCGGGAGGCAGGGGGCGTAGACCCTGGCCCGATCCGCCGTCGCAGTACAAATCGAAGGTCCTCTGGGCGGCGGTGCCGGCTGGCGGGCGGAGGGCGATTACGGGAGTGAAGGAGGAATCGTTCTGACGGCGGTGGCAGCGGCGGCCGCTGACCGCCGCAAACGGGCACGGGGAGAAATTCGAAGGGTCCACGGCTTGTACGAATCCGCCGTGGTAGTGGGGGCAGACGACAGGGCCATCGGAGGCGAGAGAAATGGTTACGGTGCACTGGTAGCAGCAATACGACGCCGTAGAAGCCATCGGAGTTGTTGCTAGGAAAATATGATGAAGATAGATATTATTGACTGACAGAGTATATGTATATGTGTGCGTATATATTCCGATTGCTCAGTAGCTTCTGATTTGGTGGCGAATTTTACAAATTGAACTCCTTCTAAATTAGATTAGATAGTATGTTAGGGATGAGATCTGGCAGATTTGTAATGATTGAATCTTGAGCTACCGTTTGTAATCTAAAATTTTGTGTTTCTCAAATTTTTTAAGGAAATATAAAATTCTTAAAATACCCTTAGAAATCAGCTTTTTTTAGACAAAACCACTTTAAAGCCGGTGTAGGGGGCAAGACGAAATAAATGTGGAGTTTGTATGGTTGTTTGTAAAAAAAATAGTTATTATGGTAATCCGCGAAAATCGCGATAGTTTGGATGGGAAAAAGTTATTTACCCTTCGAAATAAGTATAATCTCCATATTTAAATTGCTTTAATTGTAAAACGTGATGTATCCAATATTAGATAGATTTATCACATATCATCCCCTACATTAATGATTTTTTTTATATCAAAATACCAAATCAATTTTTTACGGTCTTTGTTTAAATTAGAGATTCAAAATATCTTAACCACCATGTTTACATCGCTTTAATTGTAAGACGTGATGCATACAAGATTTAGATAGATATATCACATATCTCCCATAAATTAATGATTTTATTTTTTTCTAAATTTCAAAATACCAAATCCTAATGTTGCGGTTGATTTAATTGTTAAATGATATTTTACAATCATAGGTTCGGGTTCTTCAAACTCAAAATTAGTCGATATCTAGATATGGACATATTAAATGTATATGATCCATAAACTGAAGGATGTTATTCTATTAGAAAACACAAAATATGAACTTAAGATGTAGATTTATCATGCACGTGTGATAATACATTTTTACATGCTATGAAAGTCATATTGTTTACCCGTGCATCGCACGGGATACACACTAGTTAAGAATCAAACAAAAAATGTTATATATAAGGAAATATTCAACAACATAGAAATATCATTTTTTTGATACTTTTAATATTATGAGACAATTTAAATACAAATATATCATTGTAAAACAAGTAGATAATAAATGCTCATGCATCCCA